AAAGATTTTTAAATATTCTAACTTAAAACCTGGCCAAATGGATGTTATAAGAAATTATATAGAAGAAAAAAGAGATACACTTGTTATTATAAAGACCGGAGGTGGAAAGTCCTTCTGCTATGTGACCTTCGCAATCCTTTTTAATGGTCTTACAATTGTTATTTCTCTATTAAAATCTTTGATTCAAAACCAAATAGTTTGCATAAAATTAAATTAAAAATATTTAAGGTTAAAATAATAATTAATTAAGCAACTTTATCGTTAGAATTATTTTGTCCAATTAGAAATCCTATATGGTGTTCTTATGACATCTTCTCAAGGAACAATCGAATATGAATCGATGCTTATTCAAGAAATAGCTCTCAGTTTTATTCGCTTGCTTTTCGTTACTCCAGAAAAATTACTGCTTAATAAATTACTTAGAAAGTTATGCAATCGCTTATATGAAGATGAAAAATTACAATTTGTTATTGATGAAGCCCATTGTATTTTCGATTTTAGTCATTTTAGATAAGAAAAATGAAATATAAAATATGATTAGTAATTAAAACAAATAAATTAATAATTGAATTATATAATTTTCTTTCAGAGAGGAATGGTGAAAATTAGGTATTCTGAAACAAGATTTTCCCAATGTTCGTATTATAGCATTAATCACAACACTGTCCTGGAATGATGTAAAGGCTCTTCAGAATAATTTGAATGTTAATGTGTTTGCAATTGCAAAAGGTACTGATTTATTATGCAAGGAATTATGTTTTTCAGTACAGAGTTGAAAAGACTCAAACTCATCAGATCAAGTGATAAATTTAGTAAAAAGTATAGATAAAGCTAGTCATACAATAATATATTATGCAAGAATTAAAGATTGTTCTGACATTTTTGAAATGCTAAACCTAAAAATGAAAGAAATATCATTAGATATATATCATAGACAATTATTAGAAAATAAAAAAAAAGAGGTAATAATAAAGCGAAATAAGGGTCAAATACATGTAATTATTGCAAAATCAGCCTTTGGCTTAGATATAAATATACCTGATGTTCACTTAGTCCTATTTTACAATTTTCCAATGAATATAAGTAAGTATATTTTATTATAATAAGTACAACTTTTATTAGAGAACAAGAGTATTCAATACTTTCGTAAACAGCTAGTCTTATTCAATGCTCTGGTCAGGTCGGATGGGATCAACAAGATGCTAAATGTATTATCCTTTATTCTAAGAATGATATTCGTACAAATTATACTATTATCATGGATAACAGAGAAAGGTAAGTTAATTATCTTTATTAAAGATTCATTGAATTGTTCTTAAATACATTTAATTGTAGTACTGAAGACAATAATGAACAAACTGCTGCTTGAAAACATTTTCTAGCTGAAGCACGGCAGAAGCTCTTTGAAGTAATGCATTATTGCCTTATCTTCCATGAATGCCAGTTCCAACAAGTGTTACAATACCACACATGGCTAGACAATCCAATTTCACCAGTTTGTAACTCTTGTGATAATTGCATCAAACGCATAGAAAATAAACCAAGCCAAATAGATCTAAAATCAGAGATTTTGGATTTGCTAAAAGTAGTAATGATGCTATGCAAGAGTAATAATATACTGATCCTGCCTATAGATGTGGTAGAAGTTTTTAGTTGTTCAAAAAATGAACAACTTCAAAAAAGAAAACTACAACTAACAGATTTTGATGATCATTCAAAACCAAAGAATTTACACATAAAGGCATTAGTCAAAATGGCCTTGTCAGATCTAGTTTGTCATGGTTTTGTCAAGCAAACAATTTTACTTAAAAGAAAGGTTAGTACAAGTTACTTAATGTCCAGTGTAATAATTGAAGGTGTTGTTGAAAATGCTGATTCTCTTGCGCAAAATGAAACGTGGTCATACTAGATATAATAATTATTAGTTTAGTATCTATAATATTTTTTATAATAAAATTTGTTTTTTAAAAAAATAATAAAATACTGTTGAGCAAAAAAATAATTGTTTTTCTTGAACATATGCAGTACCTTTAGAAAGTATATATATCGATATCAATTATTGCTTATATATGTAATACATAATAATATTCAGTAACATGAAGAACTATCGATGTTACATAATTGATCCTTTAATATATAAAAAAATTAATTTATCAATCATATAACATATTACTACATATACTTCTTTTTGCGATATACTGTTACATTACTTTTGTTTGAGCATAGAATATATGAAATTTTCTAGATTCGAGATCAGGTGTTCAATTTTCACGTTGGTTACATGAAGTTGATTTACAATCCACTTGATATTAATTTGGAAATATGTACACCTTATATTTAAACTTAACAATTTATTATCTTCTACCAATAAACTCACAAATCTTAATCTTAATATAAACTTTTTCATCTAATATAACTAAAGTTAAACATAAATATTAAAACAAATAATAAATATTCAACTACAAATTATGTTCAAAAAAGATTAAACCAATTTTACAAATCAAGTAAATTCTAATATAATATAATACCAAGTTTCAACTATGAATAATATTTAAAAAAATCTAAAAAAAACTTATCATAAAATAAAATACTAATATTATTAATGCTATATTTCAATATATTCCAAATAAAAAAATATTATTAAAAATTTTTATTATATATTTATACTAAAAGCAACCTAATTACACTATAATCTTAAAACCATTAGTCACTTCTAGTGCTCTGAACAGGTTAGTTTGGGTCAGATTGAAAACTTTCAGGTTAAAGCTTCAACTAATCTGAACCTGACCCAAACTGAACCCAAACTGAACCAACCTGAAATGTTAAGACTAATATATTTAAATTTTTAAAAAAATAAATTCAGTCATCTATTTTGCTCTTAAAATTCATGTAATAATAACTAATGAAGTTGGCTAATTAAATCCAAACTCAATATGCTTTATAACTACAGTAAAAATTATATATTACATATTAGAATAAATAAAAATTTTTATTTTTATCTTATAATTTATAGAATTATAGCTACTCTTAAAATTCTAAAACAATTGATAAAAATTGATCAGCTAAATTTAATAAGTTTTTGAATTCAATATTATCAAATTACTGTAATGCTGAAAATTCAATTCCAATAATACTGAATCCAAAAACCTATCGAATTTAGCAGATCAAATTTTTATTTGTTGTCTCAAAATTTATGAGAACAGCTGTAAAAAAAAAATTATTGATTTTGTCCTACAAAATTTTACAGCAGATTCTTGATTTTGATTGGCTAAGAACACTGAGCTAAATATTTGGTCAAGAATTTTATTGTTGTTCCTGGACAAATTTTATTATAATGTAAGATTATTTTCCAAAATTTATATTTTTGTAATGAAAAAAATCAATATTATGATCAGAAATTAGTAAATTATGTAATGTAGGCCAAAATTTTGCAATCTGTGACCATTAACCAATAAAAACAAGAATCTGCCATGACAATATTGTTTAAAGAAATCTGATTGGTGGTTTTATTTAAACTATTATTTAAGAATACTTATGTAGTTGCTATTATAAACATATGTACTTGCTATTAGAACCCCAAAAAACATATTAAATGCTTATTTCAAGCATCTCTAATTTGGATAATTTCGGGTCGGGTTCAGTTCGGGTTAATTTCAACCCGAAACCGATCCGAACCTGACCCGAAATTTTCGGATCGGATTTTTCTAACCAGAACCCGACCCGACCCAAAATTTCGGGTCGGTTTTAAGATTGACCCGACCCGATTCGGAGCACTAGTCACATCATACAATATATTAAAAACTCCTCTCAAATCAAATACCATTACCTACTAATATTCAAAATTAATTGAACATATTAATGATACTCCTAACTTTACTATTAAATCATTTTTTAATCACCAATTTAAGTATGACCAACCATATTGCAAGAGATCATTAGATTTTTATGCACATAATCAGCAAAGCCATTCTGGCGTTATCGTTACCGTTGGTATTAAGACGATCGAAACCTATAGAACGCCTGTAGATCTCCCATAAAAAATTAATCAGAAAAATCCCCCCCCTAACGTGACTAATCCTAATTCATTACACCTGATATTTCGATTTAATTGGATAAAAATCACGAGAGGGATTTTTTGTGAGAGCTACCAACTATAATCTATAGCGATAAATATTTAATAACAGACGATTACTTTTAGAACTATTTTTAACGTTAATAATGTATAAAACAATTATGCAAGCTAATTAAAACAACTGAAGGCTAAGACCATTATTAAAAAAATTCGATATTTTAAGACGATAATAATAATGATTTTACAATTAACAGGAATAAACCAGTTATCTCAATCTAAGAATGATTATGAACGATTTAGCGTCTCTAAGCTAATTTATTTTTCTAAGTTTACTAAGCCTGGTAGACATACAGTATTTCTAGAATTAACCACTATTTCATAAAATTTTATTAAATCAGTATTATATAATATAATTATTACAAAGCATAACGAACTATAACGCATTACATAAAAATATGAAATAACTTACTGTAGAATTGTGATTTCAAGGTAAATGAAACGAACATTTTTCTAGTTATCTGGACACTCTTAATAAGATATCTCACATAGAATTTTGCCTTATTTTATTGCTAAGTATTACAGCCAAAGGCTTATCCGTTACGTAGTGCAATTCGGTATAGTTGACACGGAAGATAAATTCTAATTTCAAAAATCAATTAACATACTAAATGTATTATGCTTAGATTACGTAACAGTCTTTTATATTCTAGTAATTATAATTTTTTTTTGTCATTACAAGGGAATTGATTAATGAAGAACTATTTAGCAATTAAGCCATTATCTTTTATGTGAAAATTTTAAAACGGTCCGTAATCAGCTTTTTGCTTTTTTAAACCATTTTCAAATTCAATTTTGAATCTTTTTTTTAAAAAAAACATTTCATTGCAAATCCTATTGTAGTGAATTAACTAAAATTGGGCTTGGGTAATCATTTAGGCTTAGGTCGGATTTTCAATTCTTGCGCATCTTGTAGATCAGATCTAAGAATGGACAAAAGTCGATCGAAGGCGAGGAATCGAAAATCACAAACCGATAAATTGTTTTGATTATTTGTAAAATTAAGTGATTGTTTTCTGATCGACAACGGGTCGTAATGTCTTGTAACCTAGCGCTAGTAATGGAAGTAATGGATTACGTTATGTAAAAAAAAAAACTTTAGCACGTCCTTCCCATAGCCACACACAGCCATAGAATGTGCTAGTTAGAAGTTTTACGTAAAATAATGAACCGCTCAAGATTGATACGGTCAAAAAATCAAAGATTAATAATCGGGTATCTTTTTTACATATAATTTAATGAAAATCGTATAATTTCAGCAAAAAATCATGGCTTAAATATAAATCAAATTGCTGAGTATCGGATAAATATCATAATAGGGAGAACATAATGACATAGGTTTCTGGTCTTTCAAAGTACTCAAGCCTCATGAGTTTTATAATCGTCGATTTTTGATTTTCTATAAATATGGCCAGAAAGTCTTTTCCTCCTAAAATCAACAAAAACTTGAGCATTTAAATAAAAATAAATAAATATATCGACACATATTATCATTTGTTTATTATTTTATATATAATATAAACAAAGCAACTCAAAATACAAGGAAAATCTTAAAAACATTGAAAATTCACAATGAATACTAGATTTATTCTCTTCTTTGTCGCCATCTTCCTGGTCGCTTTTGCTTCCGCCAATCCCAGGAACGTCAGGAGAAGACCTCAAACCGATGCTCAAAAAGATACGGTCAAATGTCAAAGTAAATATGAAAAATGTCTTAGTGGTTGCAGTTCTTATGGATACAATGACGTATCATGTCAAAATAAGTGTACAATTGAAGTTCAAGCTTGTTACAGTGAAGCAGGCAGTTATTATTAATGTATGTATGTATGTACTTTTTAGGAGAAAATTAGATGTACTTTTTATTAGTGGCCTACTAGCTTTTTAGTTTCGTTTGTTTATTGTACATGTAGTACATGATTTATTTAAAAATATATTTATAAATAAAATTCAACTTTTTTTGTGTATTATTCGGACTAGGAAAAAAAACCTTGTAATGGTTCGGTTTTAAAATATTAATACACTTTTCAACGGATTTATAGCACCTTTTTAAGCTGTCTCATATATTATGGAATATAATGCTGTATAGTATAAGTATTTCTGCTTTTCGGTTTATCTAATGAGCAATTATGGTTATTGAATGATCATTAGTGTTTGTAATCGACCATTTTTTATCGACTTGACTAAGTAAATATTTAAAACTCGGCTTAGCTGGCTAAGTCAACTTTACCATCTTTGATTACCATTCGGAGATTATCAAAGATTTTTCTATTTTTTGTCTCAACTTTGCTCGTATTTTATGTTTGTTGATCTTCTTTTTGAAGGTAACCACCGAATCGAATCGAATTGATTTGGCTTAAATTTGATTGGTTACTATATATATAAAATCGACTGGCTAAGTCGATAAAATCGACTACAAACACTAGGTGCGATCGAGTGAAAACAAATATAAATTACTATATAAAATAAATAAATAAAAATACTGTTATGCTGACATAAATTCCCGAATAAGTTAGTTTGATCATGCATTTATGCTTGGAACAATAGAATGGTTCTATATTTAGACTTTGGATATAATTAAAAAATCGCTAATTAAGTTTCTTTTAGAAGAGATGAACTTCCCGTCAAAATGTCATGATTACGTGACCCGTGCCCTGTGGCGCACAAAGAATTCGAAGTTCGTTTAAGTTAGGGTTAGTCTTACGATAGGGTTAGATGTCAGTAGGGCATATAGTAAAATTGCACAAGGTAATTTTTTGTTAGGGCTCAAAAGAGGTCTTGCATGTGTAACATTATATCAAAGTGAGATTCCAGAAAATAATATCATAATATGCGCATAAATTCGACTTTCATTTAGCAGATTTGAGCATATAATAATTTGATGAGGATACGGAAGATTCCGATATAGACAATCAGCAAACCAAAGCACGAACATGTTCCTCGGAACGAAGTGAATTTTTTAATGTTTAACTGTATAATTACAAAATTCATGCACAATTTCAAAAAAACGCAGAATTTATAACATAATGACAAAATTTATAGCATAATTTCGCATAAAAGCAAGCAGATTTCGGTGGCCCTAGACTCGCTATTGTGTGAATGACATCTTTGACGGCAATACTTATGTAATGAACTATATTTATATAATGTATTTTTAGTGCTGAACAAGTTTACTTAGAACATAAAGTTAGAATTAATTAGCAAAATTTTGAGAAATACAAAAGTATATATATTTTTATTAATAAAAATATAGAAAATTTGCATCACTCAACTATTTTACTAATATAATATAACTTTATGTCCTAAGTAAACTTGTTCAGCATTAAAAAAATACATAATATAAATATAGTTTATTATATGTATTTTAAAATTTAAAAATACTTGATTTTATATTTTTAATGAAAATTTTTATCAAAAATCCAAAATTAAGCGTTTTTTCTTCATATTCTAAGATAATATAATAAATTGTATGATATGATGTATTTTTTAGTGCTGAACAAGTTTACTTAGAACATAAAGTTATATTATATTAGTAAAATTTAGTATTGCTCAAAATTTACTAATTAATTCTAACTTTATTTGCTAAGTAAACTTGGCTAACATCCAAAAATACATTTACTGTATATATGTTCAAACTCAAAATAGTTTGCAAATCAAATTTTATTAAAAGTTTGTAAACAAATGTTTAAGTTTGCTTAAAAAATCAAGCCAAACTCAAACTTTATTAAAGTTTGGCTTGTTATAATAAACCATCAACCTCTTTAAATACAAATTTTATTATATTACGTATTTATTATTTTTTTTATTTTTATAACTTGTTCTATTCAATAACTAAACATAAGATTATCTTATAATGTATAGTTATTTGCAAAAGAAACAAACAACAGTTTTGCCAAATATACATAATTATTTAGGTATTCTAAATGCGACAATGAATTTGTGTAACTGTCAACAGTAGATAAATATACTATTGTGAGGCCCAATAACGTGACGTAAATGCTCTGCCGTGAGAACGGGTACGACGATCAATTCCTCGATATAGATATCCCGGCAATTAATCGCATTAATGCGATTAATTAAATAAATCAAGGAAGTGAAATTAATTGAAGAAAGGGGATTAATTAGAGAAGTGGGATTTATTAAGTAAATGGGTTTAAGTGAATAAATTAGAGAAATCGAAGTAAAGGGTTTAATGAGATTAATGTAATTTATGAAGTTATAATTAAAAAGATAATATAAATAAAGGCCGAAATGGCCCTAAGGAACGACATGTTCAGTTTGCTTTATTAATAAACAAGTCCCAATACATTAAATCGTCCATTATAAAACCCTAACATTAATACCGTTATAAACCCTGTAAACCCCCAATAAATATCGTCGTTCGTTTAAGTTCTTGTACACGTGACTTACCCTACTTGCATTCGTTGACCCAAAGTAACCGAAAGCCTTAATCACCCACCAGCCAAATCTAACACCCTCTTTCGAAAAGGTTACTTATCGTACGTTACGCAAGATATTGAATTGTGGAGCGACAGAGTCGCAAACTTCCGAAACCAACACTATGTATATTATAATTGAAATGCTTATAATATTATATACCAATTTGGCATTTAAGTTTCAAAAGAGAATGTTAAATAAAAAAAAATGTATTCATTACATAAAAAACACATGTAGTTAGCAATATTAGTTTGGGTTATACGAATTTTTATTAGATATTTTGAGTAGATGTTACAAATAAGGCGTGTAACGCCATGTTACAATTAGATTCATCCTATAGCACCAAACAGTCAGATTAAAATATCTAATTTAAATTTTTTTAAAATAAATCAATAAGCAAAAATTTAAAAAATAATTATTACTATTAAAAATCAAAATATCTAAAAAATGTAATTGATTACCTTTAACAGACACACCGTATGAAATGGAGTAAAAGTAAAAATGTCCGAAACGTAGTGAGAACAAAAATTAGCATAAAAATTACTTAATAAAAACTGTAAAAATCACATAAGTTGACTACATTCACAGCAAAATTTTCTTATTTAAAACATTACATTGAATTAAGATTTTACGTTCTAATTTTTTTTTCTGAAAATCGAATATTGCAAAATTTGGTTTATTATTCTAATTGAAAAATCCAGTAATAATCTAGTTTAACACATTTCAGAAGATTTTTTATGATAAATAAATGCTCTATATTCATCCTTTTCAATACCTATTCCGTAAAGATAACAATATCCGATATTATTTATTGCATCAACATCACCCATATCAGCCGATTTTTGATAATAAACAAATGCCTTATGTTCATCCTTTTCTATTCCAATTCCTTTTTCATAACAATATCCAACACGATTTATTGCATCAGCATCACCCATATCAGCAGACTTTCGATAATAGGTAAATGCTTTATGTTCATTCTTTTCAATTCCAATTCCTTTTTCATAACAGTATCCAACATGAATTATTGCATTAACATCACCCATGTCAGCAGATTTTTGATAATAAGTAAATGCCTTATGATCGTCTTTTTTAACACCAATTCCGTTCTGATAATGATAACCAACATTAAAAATTCCATTAATATTGCCCATATCAGCAGATTTTTGATTATAAATAAATGCCTTTTGTTTATCCTTTTCAACACCTATTCCGTAAATGTAACAATATCCAATATAATTCATTGCATTAGTATCACCCATATCAGCAGCTTTTTGATAATAAGTAAATGCCTTATGTTCATCTTGCTTAACACCAATTCCATTTCGATAGTAATAACCAATATTATATATTCCATTAGCATCACCCATATCAGCAGATTTTTGATAATAAATAAATGCATTATGATCATTCTTTTCAACTCCAACCCCATGTTGATAACAATAAGCAACATTATAAGTTCCACTAGTATGTCCCATATCCGCAGATTTTTGATAATAAATAAAGGCTTTATGTTCATCCTTTTCAACTCCAATGCCTTCATCATAACAGACGCCAACGCAAAATATTCCTTCAGCGTATTCCATATTAGCAGAATTTTGATAATAAATGAATGCTTTATGTTCATCTTTTTCAACCCATTTACCAAAACGGTAACAACTTGCAAGAATTATTTGAGACATGGGATTAATTTGATCA